GAAGTAGTTTCATTCAAAAATCTTATGAGTAAAAATATAAAATAAAATAAAATATAATAAAATACAAGAAAACAGGAAATGTGAATAATGAATCAAAATTCAGATAATCATTTTATTTGTATGCCAGCCCTCAAAATATTAGATTAGTTTATACCTTTATTGTCATTGTACAGAGCACAATGAAATTACAGTACCAACCATAAATCAAAAATTAAATTGCACATTTAAACATGCAGACTTTTACTATTCAGTGAAATATGATGAGACAACAATTAAATACCTGTAAAATGTTGAAAAGTAACTGGTTTAAAAAAACGTTTCGAATTGGTTACCTGTTGCTGACACCCTGTCTGAACTGCTCTAGTCAGACCTGTCTAACAGATCTGTGTGTTTGCTGTGGTCACAACTGTGTGTGTGTGGATGTGCAGACGGGTTTTTCCTACAATGTGTGGACAATTTTCCCAAAAAAAACATCTTTGTGGGGACCACTGCCAGGTGCCCACGGGTCCAAATGCAAGTTATGGGTGTGGGTTAGATTTAGGACCAAGGTTTAGGTTAGTTTTAGGGTCAAAATTAACCTGTGAGGTTAATTTTAGAGTTTATTGTCAGTGTTAGGCTATAAAGTCCAAAAAACATGAATGGAAGTCAATGGAAGGTCCCCACGGGGTTCAAGAACAAACGTGTGTGTGCAACCTCGTGCTGAGGTTGCACTGTGTAGAGGCGCGTCCCCCAGGTGGTGGATTGGGAATCCCTGTTCCTGGTGTATAGGGGTGTGCCCAAATAAGCTGAAAGGCGAATAGGGTACCGCGAACCAAAAGCAGCCGGGCAGGTGGGGCTCGATAGCCTTGACAGGCAACCCACCTAGGGGAAGGAAAACTCTGATGTAAAACCCCGGTACTGTCAACACTCATCAGTTGTCTACCCCCGGTGGATGGCAAGTTGACAAGAAATTTTAAACTGAGCGGACAAAGGACCGGCCCCCAGTACCCGGCAGAAGGGGGTTCTAAAATCTCTGGGGACCCAGCCTGCGGCACATTGGGCGCGTATGCTTCAGGTGGTCCTATAACCGTGCCTCTGGCCTGTCTGGTGTGGAACCAGGCTGGATGGGCCAATAATATAGTGACTGGAACAACCTTTACTCTGGCCCAAGGATCTGATGCTTATGTGTTGAGTCCTGGGCAGCTGGAGGGTTTAGTGCCCTGTGGCTCAGTGACGGCGATGGCTTCTGCCACTGCTGTTGCTGTGTCTACAGGGAGTACCCAGTGCGAGTGTAGCCCCTTGACTGCACCCCAGCGGGGAGTGGTCGGAGCCTCACAAGCACTGGGGTCTCCAGGTGATGAAGACACCGACATGATGTTGGTGTCCTCTGATGGAGAAAAGGGTCCTAATCTCTGTAGTTTTAGGGATGATGGAATTTATACAGAGCAATTTGCATCATTGTAAATATGCAAGAACATTGTTGTGTACCTGCCTTAGTAGGATACATACAGGCATAGCCTTGAT